CCCCAATGGAGTTTTGGTCCCGGGATGTTGTTTCTTCCCCAAGTGAGGATCTCTTACCGCCCAACAATGTTATCCCCAGTGTGGTCTGATTAGATTTATTTTTATTTAAGAATTTATATACTCCCCAACGGAAGCTATCTTCGTCAAGAATTTCTATGCCAGAAGTTTCCATTCCCAGCAAAGCTTTCCTCTTTCCAATAGAGGATAAAGAATTTTTCCCCGTGAAGTAGGGAGTTCGATCAGAATTCAAGTTTTTCTCTGAACTACAATTTCATTTTTGTAGTATTCTCCCCAAGAAGTTACTTCCCCAGTGAGATCAATCGTTTAAACATTGATGATTTCAAATCTCGGTTCCCCATTGAAGTACAAATTGCTTTTTCTCCACAGAAGATCAAATGTGCCAGAATAATTGTCCAGAAGTTTACTGACTTCTCAGCAGCCGATTGTTGGCCTGTTTTCTTAATGCATTGCATCGTTACATTGCATCATTACATTGCATCTACTAAAACGCGTAGCACTTCCATTGCATGGAGCATCACGCTATAAAAAAATGTTCAAACATGCATGAGTATAAGCCAATTGTGCCCACCTGTGGCAACCAGATTGTTATGGGCTCAAATTTGATTTACCTCCACAAGAAGCCTAGGGTAATTCTATCATGTTTCCCCAACAGGGTGCGTTTGGATTCACCACCAGTCGGGTCTTTGGTATTTCTCTGTTTCCCCAGCAAGTCTGTGGTTTGCGCTTGTTGTTGCAAGCATTTGGTTATTTTACCCATGTTTGCTTTGCCATTAGAGTATGAGTATGAGTCGGTGTATAACCTTTCTAGCTTCTCAAGTGTTTGAGTATCCATACTTGGTGTGTGGTAATTCAGACATTTGCCATTCTTGAAGAATTAACACCCCGCCTTTGGCCTGAGGGATTTTTGTAGTCCTTGCGTATTTGCAACTTATCGAAAGCCCAAGGTGTTTTGGCAATCTTTGTTAGAGTCTTCTTTGACCAATCTCTTTCTCTTGTAAAGTTCACCTTCGGTCGGTGCTCTTTAAAGGTCCTGCTTAGTCGGTTCCTTGTTTTGGTTTATCCGCGTTAGTCAGGTCCGCCTTTCGTTAGCCTAGCCAACTCTTTATGATTAAGAGTCTTTCAATGTCTCTTCAAAGTCCAGTTTTATGGCGCCCTTGTTTAGGCGAATGCGTCCTTTTTATTGGGGCTTTCTTCGGTTAGTCTCGTTCCTGTGTTCGCTAGCAATTCTAAACATTTGTTTCTTGATGATCAACTTCTCTCTTGTGTATCTAACTCTGACCAGATATACATACCTTTATCATTTGTTGAGAGTCCCCTTCGGCTGGTCTCTTTGCAGTTGTAAGTCCGCCTTCGGCCGGCATTCTCTTTGTAGGAATCTACCTTCGGCATAGTATTCCTGGATGAAGATTCCCCTTCGGCTGGTTTCTTTATCCTAAAGTCCACCTTCGGCTGGCATCCTTTAAAATCCACCTTCGGCTGGTACCGTTTGTTGAGAGTCCCCTTCGGCTGGTCTCTTTGCAGTTGTAAGTTCGCCTTCGACCGGCGTTCTTTTCTTAGGAATCTACCTTCGACATAGTATTCCTGGATGAAGATTCCCCTTCGGCTGGTTTCTTTATCCTAAAGTCCACCTTCGGCTGGCATCCTTTAAAATCCACCTTCGGCTGGTACCGTTTGTTGAGAGTCCCTTCGGCTGGTCTCTTTGCAGTTGTAAGTCCGCCTTCGACCGGCGTTCTCTTCTTAGGAATCTACCTTCGGCATAGTATTCCTGGATGAAGATTCCCCTTCGGCTGGTTTCTTTATCCTAAAGTCCACCTTCGGCTGGCATCCTTTAAAATCCACCTTCGGCTGGTACCGTTTGTTGAGAGTCCCCTTCGGCTGGTCTCTTTGCAGTTGTAAGTCCGCCTTCGACCGACGTTCTCTTCTTAGGAATCTACCTTTGGCATAGTATTCCTGGATGAAGATTCCCCTTCGGCTGGTTTCTTTATCCTAAAGTCCACCTTCGGCTGGCATCCTTTAAAATCCACCTTCGGCTGGTACCGTTTGTTGAGAGTCCCTTCGGCTGGTCTCTTTGCAGTTGTAAGTCCGCCTTCGACCGGCGTTCTCTTCTTAGGAATCTACCTTCGGCATAGTATTCCTGGATGAAGATTCCCCTTCGGCTGGTTTCTTTATCCTAAAGTCCACCTTCGGCTGGCATCCTTTAAAATCCACCTTCGGCTGGTACCGTTTGTTGAGAGTCCCCTTCGGCTGGTCTCTTTGCAGTTGTAAGTCCGCCTTCGACCGACGTTCTCTTCTTAGGAATCTACCTTTGGCATAGTATTCCTGGATGAAGATTCCCCTTCGGCTGGTTTCTTTATCCTAAAGTCCACCTTCGGCTGGCATCCTTTAAAATCCACCTTCGGCTGGTACCGTTTGTTGAGAGTCCCCTTCGGCTGGTCTCTTTGCAGTTGTAAGTTCGCCTTCGATTGGCATTCCTTCGTCAGAGCCTTCTTCGGTCGGTATCTTTCTTGTGTATGTCTAACCTTGACCTGACATCAAAGAGATTTTCTCAGCTAATCACTACAATCCAAAGAAAACAAAAAATATATAATAACACCTGACTGGCTTCGGAGCGCAAATTTTTGGGTTCTTTTAGTATTTAATCTTCTTCCACCTTGAAGGTTCCAAAGGCTCGCGCCAATCTCACCTTTGGGTTGAAAGCGGTTAAATAGGGGCAGCTGTTGCACCCCAAAATTTGCCCTCCTAAATTTCATTTTTATGGCTTAGACCGCATTCATCTACATCATTCCAATGGGTCATTTGCATAGCACGCATTTTTCATAAAGTAGATCGCCTGAGGCTCAAAAGACCAGCAGTTAGGGAGCTAAAGTTTACAACTGATTTAAGGTGTATGTGTGAAATGAGCCTGATTATTCAGGGTCCCCCCGGTGTCAGCAAGTTGGGGAATTAGGGTTTTGGTTCATTCTCATTTTTTTTGGACTTCCTTTCCCTCAAGCAGCAAGGCTATTATTTTCTGATAAACAACATGCTTAATGACTTTGACATGGCATTCATCCACTCTTCAATTAACCAATTCGGGTTTTATCGAATCATGGTTCAGAGAATCATTGGTTGCGAAGCTCGGGTTTTCTTTTGGTTCGGAGTGTTTATCAATCAAGACTGATTCTTCTGGTGCTTTGAATTGTGAATTTAGGGTTTTTGATTGACAGTTGTTGTGGATTTCTTCTTTATCAAGCTACGAGGTTATTCTCTTCATCTCAAAAATCAAGTTGTAAGGTTTTATCTGTTAAGTCTGAAAAGTTGGGTTTATTTCCCTATGTCTATTGGAAGATAATGCTTTGTTTCATTTCGAAGACATTTTGAATATTATTCTATCCATGTCTCAAGTCGTCACTGTGCACCTAATACAAGCGGGTTAAGGTTTTTGCATTTTGTGTGTGAGTTTGTTGATGTTCATCAATGAGGAATGATTAGAGGATATCCTTCTAAGCTTCAAATTTTATCTTCTTCAAGGATCCCACAAAGACATTTTTTGACAAAACAAAGGACTTGTGGGGTTGAATGGAAAAGTATGAGGTCATGGCATAAGGAATGGTACCATAGATTCATGTTGATCAAGGCCATTTTTGTTCTCATCATGGTTAGTTTTTGCTCACAATACAAGTCAATGTGGATTAGTAGTTTTAAGGATATCTTGGTTATACTTCTTCCATATTTCCATCTTCGTTACCAGCTCCTCAAAAGCATTATATTTGTGTGAGTCTGGTGGATCTTCATTCATCCGTTCTTTTGGCTAAAACACTTACTATTCTGATACTTGACGGTTGTGCGAAGCTTGGGAGTGTTAAAGGCCGGAAACGTTTAAAGTTTTTGGCTACACAAGTCTCGAGGAATTTGCCGTCTTCTCGGATTTCATTGAAAAACTCGGATTTAAGCATTATAGATGCGTCGATTCACGTGATCTCTGTCTTTCATCTTATGTTCAAAAGTATGTTGAGGAGCCCTCTAGAATATCGCCTGAACTAAATGCAGGCAGTGCTACTCCCGTTGTTAGTTTGCCAAGTATGGAAGGTACTGCTGGTGATGCAAATACTGCTAGTTTTAGGTTGGTAAAATCAGAGCCATGCGATGATAACTAAAAAAAAAAAGAATTTGAAAGAAGCTAGTGTCGGTCCTGTAGGTTCATTAAACAATGCTGCTGTCAAACAATAATTTATTCATCATTCAACTATTAAGAAATCTAATTCAACTGTTAGCAATTCAAAATTGGTTGATTCTACAGTCATTAAATCTGAACCAAGTCATGAGGGTAGTCAGGAAAGATCCAAAACAGCCGAGAGTACTGCTACAGGTCAGTTGATTAAAGTGTTGCCACAAATATCATTAAGTTCTTCTGCTTCCATGACAGGGTCAACCGGAAAATTGTAGCCGCGCAAAAGGAGTAAATTTTGAAAAAGCCCGTGAGGAAGTTTCCTCAAATCCTGAGCCTGTTCCTCTGGTAACAGTTGCTTTTCCTATAGTTGGTACTGCTACAGAATTGACTAATCATGCCTTGAAATATTCTTCTGTTGTTACCAAGAAAGAAGTGGCTGATGATCATGATGGTTGTAGATTGAAACTCATGAATAAGCCTTTTGATCCTCGAGATAGCGGTGAAGGCGGTGTTAGTGATGAAGAAAAGATAACCTTGTCTGCTGATATGTTAGAGGAGGTTTGTTTGAGAAGTCAAGGAGCAACTATAAACTTATACTAAACTGTTCTCTTATTGTTACTTCTGTGATACCTCCCGAGTTACCAACGGAATTATCTATAGCTGTTAATACTTCTCTGATTGCACTTGCACACCGAGGAATTTTTTGCACAAAACCTTTTCGGATACCATTTGCTGGGAAGGTTGATATATGTTGTTTTGACAAGACTGGGACACCTTTCTTCCGTCCCTTCTTTCTTCAGTTTCTTCGGCAGAATTACCGGTTGGCCAAATGAGTCAAGCAGTGTCAACAATTACCTTTTCTAGCTTATCACAGTCAGGAATGCTGCCTCCTCCAAATACAATTACTAATTCTTCTAATTTTCAGTCTTCAAATCCTGCATCTCCATTGAATTCTGTCCATACTATTGGCTCCCCTGCACAGCCATCGATTGAGCCGTCATCTGGTACAACTCTATCTCCTGTAAAATCATCTGATATTTCCTCGAGTCAATTACAATCTAAACTAAGAGGCGGACCGTCTGTTGAAAATAATGATATCACTAACAGTAACCTTCGCCAGCTACGTTGCAAAATCATTTTAACTGATCTGGAGTTCAGTTTAAAACCTGTGACATATGCCGGAATTTTCAACCATATGCTCAATTGGCTGGTGAATTGGGACCAAAGACCACATGGAGTTGATGAAGCTGTTATTCTGAAGTCATGGAGACTTGACAAAACTGTAATTGCCTGGGTACATAGTTGCTTGGATGTGATCTGGCTTTTAGTTGATGAGGGAAAATGTCGGGTTCCCTTTTATGAATTATTACGTAGTGATTTTCAATTCATAGAAAATATACCTAATGATGAAGCATTATTTAAACTTACCTTGGTGATCCAGGAGCCGGGGCAGCTTGTTGAAATCTCGCTAAATGCTCACGGCACCCGTGTTGTTCAGAAGCTGATTGAGACTCTCGAAACCGGGCAGCAAATTTCATTAGTTGTGTCGGCTCTTGAACCGGGATCTTTGACTCTCATAAAAGACCTTCATGGTAATCATGTGGTTCAACATTGTTTGGAATGCCTGAGCAATGAAGATAACAAGTTTATCTATGTTGCTTCTGTCAAGTATTGCGTGGAGATTGCAACTCATCAAACACGGATGTTGTGTTCTACAAAAATGCATTCGTTATTCAAGCGGGGAGCGTAGATAAATGCTTGCTGCAGAAATATTTGCTAATGCTCTTTTGCTAGCTCAAGATAAATACGGAAACTATGTTGTTCAATGCACCTTGGACTTAGAAATTCCATCTGCGGCCACAACTTTGACTCTGCAATTTGAAGGTAGTTACGCGCATATGTCAATGGAGACGTACAATAGTCATGTGGTTCAAAAATGTCTTGAAGTATTCGATGATGAGCATCGGGACAAGATCATTCATGAACTGCTTTCTGATCCTCACTTTGACCAATTGCTTCAAGATCCACAAGCTTCCTAGTAATTCTGTGCCATTCAAGAAGGACTCTGATAGGCACCTGTTTACTGCATTAACGCCAAAGCCTTTTCCTAGCATTTCAAGGATGGTGATACCACCAAATCCTGTTGGCACCTCCATCCATGGCAGGTACCTCAGCACCTATACCTCTGAGGTCTTTAGACAAAATTACAGAGTGAATTGGTCAGGGAGTGTTATCAGGAAGGACATCATGCAATGGATGCAGCTATTAAAATTCAGAAGCACGCACGCAGACATGGATCAAGGAAAGCCTACAGTAAACTCCATGCATCAGTGCTTACATTGCAAAAGACTTTGAGGTAAATCGCTGCCCGTAAGGAGTTCACCGGCACTGGTACAGATAACATGACAGAATATCTTGCTTGCCAAACTCTGTTGGTGGTTGTTGCAAATGGGCTTGGTGGAAAGAAATTAGAGTCAGCTTGTTTGTCCCCTCCAGATGTTGAGATATCTTCCTTAATCAAATGGGAAAGAAGTCTATTGAGAAACTGAATGTTCATTATCAACCCATTTTCTGAGCCACATGGCTTACGATGTATTCTTGAAGATGAAGAAAGTCGATATAAAACCCACTTCGCATTCCTATACAGCAGTGATCCATGCTTATGCAGTTAGTGGCTGGTATGAGAAAGCTTATGCTGCATTTGAAAACATGATCAGAGAAGGTATCCAACCTTCAATAGAAACCTACACTACTTTACTAGATGCGTTCAGACGAGATGGTGACAATAAGATGGAGCTTGTCAAAGTTCTTGCTGCACTGCAACCTGTTGGTCTATTGTTTGAGATCTTTAACATTTGGTTGCAGATAATAATGCTTAGCACTTTAAAAAAAAACCTCTATAGCCTGTATTATTTGTGTAATTTTGCTTTGTACTTTAAATTCTCAGCTTTCTACGTTCTTCTGTAACTGATCACATAATAGTTAACAATTATATGGATGCTTGATTATGCACTTAGACAGTTTGTGTCCAAATTAACAGCTCATCAATCTCCTCCTAACAACTTTATAACTCTCTAACTACCTCCAAACAGAATTCCCAACTAGCATAACCACCTTGTAACCAACTCTCAATCTCACCCTTCAATCCCTAACAGAATCTATCCAAATCAATGGTTCAGATTGATTCCCACATAACTGTTTCCTCCCTCAACTACCTATATAATCCAAACCCCCTCCAAGTTTTGAGAGGACGAGGTCACTCTCTCTTTTCCAGTTTCTAAACTTCATCATTGTATCAGCTTCAAAACAACTTCTTCCATCTCCATCATTCATTCTCAATTTTTTTCTGAACTCTCATCATCTTCTTCAAAGACTTCAACGAGAATTTAAAAAAAAAAACTTTGTACATCATCAGCATCATCCTCAACGATTTCAAAACAAATCGCGCTCGGCTCAAAGAACAACAGTGCATCACGCCACAACATGCACCAGCAAATAGATCACGGTGCAGAACGGTCGATTCATAGAAGAAGAAGATCGAGAGGAAAAGGTCACGCATATGACTTGAGAGGTTCAAACCTGAATACACCAAGTACTACTGGATTTCTGTTCATCTTCATCATCCTCAAAGAACACCGGACCTCTCCGGTAGGTAAACACCGTCATCTTATCCCCTTCGTTATTTTGCTCTTTCCTTTTAGCGCCTCCGTGTAGAATATGTGGCAGGATTTCTTTTTTTTCTCTGGAGAATTGTTGTTCGTTGAAAATCGGGGAAGGATGTGGAAGTTTAGAGGAGAAGGGAGGTTGAAGAAAGAACGAAGGTGATGACATTGAGGAGACGGAGACCACGCGAGGTTCTATGGGAGAAGGAGATTAATGGTGAAGTTACGACAGTCACTGATCAGAGTGAAACAAAGACGGTGGTTCGTTCACACGGCGCCGTTTGAAAGAAGAGAAGAAGGAGTCTACTGTCAATTCCAAAACGACCCCGTTTTCTTTTTTTTTTCTTTCTTTCTTTATTATTATGTTAATTCTTTGTTTTGTTTTTTTTAAATGATAATGACAAAACTTCTTTTTTTTTATATAATTTTTATTATAGTTAAGAATTTATCTTAATCTTCCTTATAAAAAAAAACAATAAATATATATACATAAAATAAATCCGTAAGAATTTGTTAGTTTTTTAATACTTATTTGACTTCTCAGGAGTTAATCTGTTGGTTATCCGATTAGTTGAAATCCATGACTCACCTTTGTTTTGTCGAGACTTGAATCTTATGCAGGTTCAATATGCGACACATGGATATGCTTAAGATTTCGATTTTGATTTGTTTTCGCATCTTGGACACTTAGACGCTTACTTCGAGTATTGAATTTCTAACTTTTTTTCTTTGTTGATGGTAACAGCTCACGAGATCGTCAAGTATATTTGCTTTTTCTGCTTTTCTCTACAGGCTAGTATTCGCTTGGTATATTTTCTTTCTATCTTTTACCTCGCATTTTATCTTTTCCCATAGATCATATGAAGTGTGATAGAATCAGGTTTATGCTAGTCTCTCTATAACGTTTCTTTCCCTCTTCGCATATGCATTTATAATAACAAAATTTTCCTTTTTTTACAAAAAACTTCAAAAAATACAAAAAAGGGGAAATTTACTGACAAGAACCACGTCTTGGCTAAGTTTGTGAGATGATAAGCGGGTTTCTGCTCGACCTTATTATTCTCTTGTTCTAAGCTTTGGTAGGGTTCAAGTCTCAAAGATTCATTTAACGAATAAGTAGAGACATGGCTAAAATCTCTCTCTTGAGATCAACTAGCTATTATCTATAAGCAAAAATACCAACCAATACAAAATCTTTTTGCCTTCGGGCCCTTCCTTTCAAACTCTTTTTCAAAAGAGCATATTAATTCACTTCTGTGCCGACGCGTAAATCTCCAAAGGTCGAGTTGCGGCAGAAGGCGAAATTACTATCGTTCATTCAAAAACAAACGAATTCAAAACTTTTTGTGCATCCAGGCACCTTTCTTTCCAAACTTTTCAGAAGAGCATGTTAATTCACTTCTGTACTGACGCGTAAGTCTCCAACGGTCGAGTTGCGGCAGAAGGCGAAATTAGTATTATTCAGTAAAAAATGCAAACAAACAAAAACATGTAAGCCGAACTACGGCTGCTCTGATTCCTTAAAAGGGATACGTAGGCATTGGGGTAGGGCCCAAGCGAGCACAACAATTTTATTTTCCCTACATTCTTTTCTCTTTTCTTTTGCATGCATTCCTCCAGTAGTATAGTAAACAGTAAGCATAGATTAAACACACCCATAAGGTAGATAACAAGAGTGGATACCGTAGAGTACTACGGGCGTGTGGGGTGCTAATACCTTCCCCTCACGTAACAGACTCCCTTACCCGATATCTCGGTCGCAAGACCGTGACTTCTCCCTCATCAGGTTTTCTCGATGCTTACCTTTCCCTACATGTGGGATAAAAGACGTTCGATGGCGACTTCATTGTTTGATGATTTTCAGCCGGTTGTTTCACATATGTCTGGAGGAATGAACATATGATAGGAAATCGGGTTGAGGAAAGGACTCTAACCAAAGATATCAAGAATATATGTGCGGAAGAAAGGAAATATAACGGGAAACAGGCCGGAGGAAATGACTCTAACCAAAGATATCAAGAACATATGTCTGAGGGAAAGGATATATAATAGGAAAGAGGCTGACGGAAAGAACTCTAACCAAAGATATCAAGAACATATGTCCGGAGGAAAATACATATAATAGGAAAGACATCAGAGAAAAGGACTCTAAATAAAGATATCAAGAATATATATCTAGAGGACAAGATGTATAACAGGAAAGAGACTTGAGGAAAAGACTCTAGCCAAATATATCAAGATATATGTCTTGAGGAAGGACATATAACATGAAAGAGGCTTGACGAAAGGACTCTAACCAGAGATATCAAGAACATATGTCTAGAGGAAAGGAAATATAAATGAAAAAGGCTGAGGAAAGGATTCTAAGAAAAGATATCAAGAATATATATGCGACGAAAGAATATATAACCGGAAAGAGACTGAAAAAAAGAATTTAACCAAAGATATCAAAAACATGTGTCGGGCGTAAAGGACATTTAATAGGAAAGAGACTGGAGGAAAGGGCTCTAATGAAATATATAAAGAATATATGTCTAAAGGAAATGACACATACCAAAAAATAGGCCGGAGGAAAGGACTCTAAAAAAAATATCAAGAACATATGTCTGGAAGAAAGAACATATAATAGGAAAGCGATCGGAGGATATATGTTTGGAAGAAAGGATCTATAACAGAAAATAGGCTTCAAAAAAAGTCTCTAACAAAAGATATCAAAAATATATATGTGCGAAGAAAAGGATATACAAGAAGAAAGAGGTCGAAAGAAAGTACATTAACCAAAGATATTAATAAAATATGTTTGGAGGACAAGACATATAACAGGAAAGAGGCCCGAGTAAAGGACTCTAACCAAAGATATTCAGAATATATGTCTGGAGGAAAGGACATATAACAAGAAAGTGGTTGGAGGAAAGGACTCTAACAAAACATATCATGAACATATGTCTGGAGGAAAGGACATATAACAGGAAAGAGGTCGGAGAAAAGGAATCTAACCAAAGATATCAAGATTATATGTCTGGAGGAAAGGATGTATAACAGGAAAGAGATCGGGGAAATGGGCATTAATAAAAGATATCAAGAACTTATATTTGCAGGAAATGACATATAACAGGAAATAGGCCTGAGGAATGGACTCTAACCAGAAAATATCAAGAACATATGTCTGGAGGAATGAACATATGATAGGAAATCGGGTTGAGGAATGGACTCTAACCAAAGATATCAAGAATATATGTGCGGAAGAAAGGAAATATAACGGGAAACAGGCCAGAGGAAATGACTCTAAACAAAGATATCAAGAACATATGTCTGAGGGAAAGGATATATAATAGGAAAGAGGCTGACGGAAAGAACTCTAACCAAATATATCAAGAACATATGACCGTAGGAAAATACATATAATAGGAAAGAGATCGGAGAAAAGGACTCTAAATAAAGATATCAAGAATATATATCTGGAGGAAAGGATGTATAACAGGAAAGAGACTTGAGGAAAAGACTCTAGCCAAAGATATCAAGATATATGTCTTGAGGAAGGACATATAACAGGAAAGAGACTTGACGAAAGGACTCTAACCAGAGATATCAAGAACATATGTCTAGAGGAAAGGACATATAACTTGAAAAAGGTGGAGGAAAGGATTCTAAGAAAAGATATCAAGAATATATATGCGGAGAAAAGAATATATAACCGGAAAGAGACTTAAAAAAAGAATTTAAGCAAAGATATCAAGAACATGTGTCGGGCGTAAAGGACATTTAATAGGAAAGAGACTGGAGGAAAGGGCTCTAATAAAATATATAAAGAATATATGTCTAAAGGAAATGACACATACCAAAAAATAGGCCGGAGGAAAGGACTCTAAAAAAAATATCAAGAACATATGTCTAGAGGAAAGAACATATAATAGGAAAGCGATCGGAGGATATATGTTTGGAAGAAAGGATCTATAACAGAAAATAGGCTTCAAAAAAAGACTCTAACAAAAGATATCAAAAATATATATGTGCGAAGAAAAGGATATACAAGAAGAAAGAGGTCGAAAGAAAGTACATTAACCAAAGATATTAATAAAATATGTTTGGAGGACAAGACATATAACAGGAAAGAGGCCCGAGTAAAGGACTCTAACCAAAGATATTCAGAATATATGTCTGGAGGAAAGGACATATAACAAGAAAGTGGTTGGAGGAAAGGACTCTAACAAAACATATCATGAACATATGTCTGGAGGAAAGGACATATAACAGGAAAGAGGTCGGAGAAAAGGAATCTAACCAAAGATATCAAGATTATATGTC